TTTTTAATAAGAGGCGGTAGGATGGTCGCTTGACTAACCTCCGAGATATAGTGATAATGTCCAATTCATTTAGGGCACTATATTCGGCCCTCCTTGCCGCCTGTGGGAACTCCACAAGACGGAACCTTGATCATAACTCACCAAAAAGGTCCCGAAGTACCAAATTTGGGCAACAGCATATCTTGGCGGCGGAAATGATGAAGCGATTAAAGCCTGTCCAAGCAGCCTGGATGGTCGCGGCTGTAGACCCCGTCATATCTCATGACTCCAACCTCCCGCCAACCTGCTATGGGTATAATTTGGCTGGCTAACCAAATTGCGAACACAGGTTACCGGCATCCACCACACCTAGCCGGTTGACCTTTTATTGTATCAGGAAAACTCTAATCCTTCTCGGGGGGGCGGGCAAAGATACCGGTAGCGGATTTGGTCAGGCTATACTGGAGTAGTTACCTACAACAAGTACCAGAACATTTAGTATTTGTAGGAAATAGCAATAACCCAGGGATTATTGAGAGGGATCTGTGTTTCAATCAAAAGAGGTATATCCCACCATCTGAATCTATCGCTCAAGCCACTACACGCACTTCATCCCCCATATCGCTAACTTTATTTGACCCATGCTAGAAATGCACGTCTACTTATGGTAGGGTCTTATGCAGCCCCGGCAAACCCTGGTAAAGCCATAATTTAACACACAACACCGGAACCCAAAGGACAAACTAAAGTTATCGTGGGAGGTATGCCAGGATTTATTACGGATAACCTTCAAAGGTCAATTGATCCTACACGCCGACCGTGAACGCCCATTGAAAAAAAGTACGGTAAGGGTAAAAATTAAACTATCACCCGACAATCCCACTTCCACCGACCGATGGACCTATTCGTCGTCCAGGGCCCAGGCAGGAAGCCGCCTTACCCCCACGGTAAGTTAGGTTATTAAATACATAAGTTATCAGGAATTCATTTCGTGCTGCAATTGTTAAAGCGATTGACTTTAACTGCGAACATTCCTTCTTGCCTAATACTTTCCGTGTTCATCTCAACCTTGTTGGCTCTTCTTACCATTCAACAATTCCCTCCGTTCCATCTCAACTCTAATCTGCAGTATTCTTTCACGATATCGGCATCCTTTGCTGGAGATCGCGAGGTGCTGCTCGGCATGCTCTCACGATAGTTTGTTTGTTCGCACAGTCTCCGGGAGCGCGCCTTTTGCTTCGGGTGCAGCTTGGCTTTTCGGGAAAGCAATTCGGTCGCGAGAATGTGCAGGAGTCTTAGAGAAGTGTATCCGTTGGAAGGAACGCACGAAAGAAAGCAGAAAGGCCAAAAGGAGGGCCGCAGGCTGCATAGCCGAAGTTTGTCGTTACTTTGTTAGATTTTTTTGTATGCTAGTGTGCGGGAGACATACCTAGGGGGTTAGGACTTTGTCATTTGCGTCGTTGATATATACTCCTGTCTTTACCGTTAGTTAGTTAGATAGAACGCACAATGGTGTGAGGTTGATGAGGTGAAGAGTTTTCTCCCCCCTCCCCCTGTGAGTTGAGCGATGCTTTCACGTGAGTGATCTTGGCGTTTCGTTTCACAATCCATCACTCTTTCGTTTAGTTTCATTGCACCGTTCCTACCGCGGTTCGTTTCGCAGTTCGTTCACCGCTCGTTCGTTCGTTTTCGACATCGCGATAGTCTCCGCCGATCCGACGTCTAAAATTCTTATCATTTCGTGAGGTTTTTGTTAAATGTGGTACAAGTGGCTATTTGTCAAGGTTATTGTGGCTTATATGCATTTTACGAGGATTGACTTCTCATGTTTGTCCGCCTTTCTTGTTTCCCGCAAATTATTTTTCAGTTGATGAACACACTCCCCCCGCGGTTGCCTCTATGTTTTAGCGTCATACGAAGAAATATCATAATATTCGTAGCTAAACTAACTACAAGCCATATCCCAATCCAGGTAACCAGCTTAAAGGCATTACGTTCCATCAGGTAAGCCAACCAAACATGAAATGCCAACCAAACCGCAGTACATCTGGGACTGTACCACCCGCACAACTCGTAGGAAGACCGCATCATTACCAAGTAAGTGGTCGACAGGCAGCCCCAGGCCGAAGCCCAAACCAGGGAGTCATGGCCATCACTTGGCCTCACACAAAAACAAAAGAAAACCATATATACCGGGGACACGGGCGCTGTCACCGACCCCGCGCATGAGCCCCTCGCTCGTCCCCCCCAACCCCCACGCGCCACCACCAGGCAAACCAATTATCAAGGGCGACGGCCGGGCTCAGCCACATTTTCCGCCACGTGGCTCAGGCGCCTTCTGCGACGCTACCGTACCGACACCAACCATCGTGGGCCCCATTCCCCCGCCTGCCCCGCTCGCTCGCGAACGATGAAATCCATCGGAATGTATCACGCCGAACGCCCAAAACAGCTCAGCAGGGGCTAACCGAAAAACCGCCGTCGGAACCGATGGAAAACCGATGGAAAAGGCCCTGCCGCCTAATCCGCACGAGACATGAAGCCTAACCACCAAAGACTTCAAGGGCGTTGATTGGGTGATCCCCCCGCGAAGAGGTCCCGCAAGGAGGAGCAAAAGGTCCCACCTGTTAGTGTTCGGGCCAACTAGTGGCGGGAACCTTGGCGCAGTTATGGTATTACCTCATATTAACGTGCGTAATCGGTTTCCTGTCTTGTCACCATTATTTCCCTTCTTATTCATCCTCTGCACTTTCTCGCTTGAGTTAGATTGGACTAACCTTGGCACGGTTACTTGGGCGGTCTGAAACAGTAAAATTCGCGACCAGG